AGGGTTCCCAGGGAGGGCCCTAGGAACCCTGCTAATCTGGGATGCTGAGCTAGAGGAGAATGAAGGCCCTTTTTAGGCTTCTTCTTCTTCTTCTCTTCTTCTTCTTCTTCTTCTTCTTCTTCTTCTTCTTCTTCTTCTTCTTCTTCTTCTTCTTCTTCTTCTTCTTCTTCTTCTGCCTGCCGGCCTCTGGGTCTGCTTCTCACTGTGAAACTTGGTGTATCTGTTTCCCTAGCCATCCTAAAGGGCTAAAGGAAGAGAGAAGGTGCCGTGGTGGGGGTGGGAGATGGGGGGGGATAGACACAGGTAAATTGAAGCAGCACACCTTAGATACCTCACACAGCATTCAGCTAGACATATACCTGCTGCCAGCAACAGCAAATAGCACTAAAAAAAAAAAAAAAAAGACTAGTTCACCTTTGAAGGACCCCAGGAGTGTATGAGCCCAGTCACATTAGGAAAGCCCTTACCTATCTATTCTGGGAGAGATCGGGACACACTGCATACCCAGCCCACGTGCAACCTGCTGATGCCTGCTCTCTCATCCCCCAGATGGATCCTTGCAGAGAGCAGTCCACTCAGGAATCCCCACTTTCATGGTGGGATCCCTCAGGCGCAGTCCCACCGTGGTGATCCGGCCTCAGAAGCTCCAGTTCTGTCGGCCACAGGGAATGACCTCTTCCCCAGCACCCATGATGGTGGACGTGGGGTCTAAACCCATTTCCCCTGGGGAGCCTGCCCCGGCCTGCATCAGCAGAGGTGGCAAGACCAGGAGCCACTCGGCGGCCAGTTCCCTCATCATGGAAGGCAAAGAAATACCCGTCAAGAGCGAGCCGCCACCCAAGCCGCCTGCGTCTGCCCCACCCTCGATCTTAGTGAAACCAGAAAATTCAAAAAATGGCATCGAAAAGGTAGGAATGGAATGACAGTGGGAGCCTGACCCTTCAGCCTCCCAGAATTGCACACCATGGACATTGCCAACCACACTGGCAGCCACCAATAAGATCTTCACACACAACACAGCCCTACCCACTCGTTGCACCTTCTCCTAGATAAACGTACTCCTCATTCCCTTCACACATGCTTCTTTTATGATCCAGAAACGGCCTGGAGAAAACATGGCATGATTTAAATTACCATTCTGGTTAGGTGCCTCTGGCCAAAACACTTCACCCTTCTGGGGCTTTGTTGATTCGTTCATTATTATTTACTTATTTGCCTAGCCATAGAAATAATAATATAGGGACTAGAGAGATGGCTCAGCAGTTAAGAGTACTTACCGCTCTTATAGAGGACCTGGATTCAGTACCTAGCACCCCTGAGGTGACTCAGAACCACCCACAACTCCAGTTCCAGATTTGATGCCTCCTCCTGACCTCTGCAGGCACACACAAGGTGCACATACAGACATGCAAACAAAACACACCTATAAACATAAAATAAAAATAAATCTAACAAAATGTTAGGTAAATAAAAGTAAACCTAGAAATCTGATGGCCGTACAAGGGCTTGGAGATGACATTATGTAAAACATGTGCGGTACTTATACCGGGCTTGATACATACTTTTTCATCAGATGACAGGAACAACTAAGACACGGGCGAATCTGAGTGACGTCAGAGTCACATCGAATGATAATTCTAACTGCTAACTTATTGGGACAGCTGTGATGTTCATCAGATCTGTTAACATCTAGTCTGGAGATTTTTGTGCTAGAAGACATGGATTTTTATAAGATCCTTGAAACAAGAGAGATGATGAAAAGGAGAAGGTGACATTAAAGGAACCAGGTGATGGTCATCACAAAATCCTTCAGCTTACTGAGCATCACCACACTCATCAGTCATCTCCCCCCCCTCACTACCACCCCCACCACTGTCCCACCATCACCCACTCCCTACAAAATGGATGGGATGGAGTTCCCTCCTATTTGTTAAGCCTTTACTAACTACTAAATATGCTAACAGACACCATGCACAGAATTCCATGGGTTCCATCTCACTAAACCTCGATCACAACCCTCTGAGGTAGGGATTGTTTTCATCCTCATTCAGAATGAGGAAGCAGAGGCCTGGGAACTTAAACGACATTGCCCAAAGCCACACAGCTGACATCTGTATCCGATAGGAAAGCCCAGGTTCTTTCCACGAAGCTTGTGCGGAATTGCATTTGGAAAAGCTCACGGTGAATGACAGAAGGGTCAGGAGTGTTTATTCCAACTTCCGATGTTCATGCAATCTAAAGGATTCCGTAACCCAGTTGCCCAATATCCCAAGTCATCAGACACAACCCCCAAACTCCGAAGTCCCAAGCTCCCGCTGCAAACAGTGAGAATCAGAAAGTATGGGCAACTTGGGGACAAAAAGGAGAGAATTTCGTGGAACAAAGAAGTAATTCCTAAGAAGTACCATAGAAAGAACACTTTATTAATCCCTGGGTCAGTGACTAGCTAAGACAAACACCTGCAGTTGCCAAGCAAGGCGCACAACTACCTAGGAGACAGGAGAGGCAGCGAAGAGAGAGGGGGCGTCAAGCAAATGGAGACACTGCCTCATATAAAGGGAGCTACTCCTCGGCTCAGCCAGGTGTTGCCAGTATTGATAGGCCCAGAGTTCCAGATCTCAGGGTACTTCTCATGTTTCCGTTTAGGTTTGGTTGGGGTTTTGAGACAAATTTTCACTATGTAGTTCAAACTGGTCTGAAACTCACAATCCCCCTGTCTCGGCCTCCAAGTGCCTGTGCTACCACACTTGGCTCTGAATCTTCCATCTTTTAAAGACACACATGATATGGTGGTCTGTGTATTTGTCTCTGGTCTGTATAGTTGTCTCATGGTCTTAATGAATGGGGATGTCAGTCAATGCTCTGAAGGCTAGATGATAACAGCCGGTGTCCAGGGAACCAGGTCTGTGATGAGCATTCTTAAGGCAATTTTGGAGACCGCTAAGAGGGGTCTTCAGGAGAACTGATGAGGAAGAGCCAGGCCTTGAGATAGACCTTAAGGAAAAGCAGAGGGGAGAGAGGAAAGGCGAACTTGTATTTTCTAGAAGGGTCCTTTTGAAGACCACTGCTGACTCTATGTCTCCCAAATTATTCACTCTTATTCTTAAATCCTTCTGCCTCAAGAAAGGCCTCCTTAAGGAGCTGCCTATTAGATGCTACTCCACTGCCTCAGCGGGTTACTCTTCTCTCATCACAGCACTGGTTATAATTTCCTAATGGCCAGTATGGGTTTGTTCACTCAGATCCACCATACTTCACAGGGTACATTACACGATGCAAAGTAGACACACATGCTGGCTGAAGAACACCACGTGAATGTGGCATTTTGAGTGGAGACAATTGTAGGGAAAGCACGCAACTCTTATCAAGGGGGCGGGGCCAGAGCACACATCTCACCCACAGCCCTCGGCTCTGCTTTCTATTTTACAGCAAGTCAAAACCGTGAGGTTTCAGAATTACAGCCCTCCTCCCACCAAACATCATACCTCTGGAAAGCACCAACAACCAGCCGCCTTGAAGGGGTCCCAGCCTGAAGCAGTCCCCTCAGGAGCAGAGATGACTGTCCTATTCGCTCATCGCAGTGGCTGCCACTCTGGACAACAGATGGACCTTCGGAAAAAGTCAGCGGCGGGCAAGACCGTGCCCCCAGTGTCCACTGCTTCATCCACACAGACCGTATTTGCGAGCAAATGATTCTTTTGGCGTGGCTTTTCTTAGACACAAAAGAGGTGAATTACATGTAAATACAGCCTGCCTCCACTGCAACGCATCCTTCTGTTCTTCGAAGGATGAGTCTCCCTCATCTCCCATTTCAACCTGAAGGAATGGGAAGTGGAAACTCCTGCCGGGGTTGGTTGGCTTTTTCTTTCCACCCCACCCCCCACCCTCAGGGTGGGGGTTTCTCAGTGTAACAGTCCTGGCTGTCCTGGATCTCACTCTGTAGACCAGGCTGGCCTTGAACTCACAGAGATCTGCCTGCCTCGGCCTCTCAAGTGCTGGGGTTAAAGGCGTGCACCACCACCACCCAGCATTTTTCTAAACTTAGTGATTTGATAACAGCCAAAGAGTAGGGAAATGTTGATGTCTGTGCCTTCCGAGTGCAGGGTTTGGCCTCTCATCCTGTGTGCTCATTGTAAAATGTCTTTGTATCCTAGGACAGCCAAAGGATGGCAGTGCTGAAATTGTTCTCAGGGCCTCTTTAACCTCATCACCATCCCGCTCTCTTATCATCCTATTGGAAAAACCTCTGCCATCTTCTGGGGCTGAATCTTTTTCATTCCCGAGTCACCACTCCAGCTGCAAAGGGGGAACTGGGGGACGGGAGGGCGGGGCTATGGTACGAGATGGATGTATTGAACATTATAAGAACCCACTAAAACTGAAGGGAGTGACTTTCTGAGTTTGCTACAAACAAGGCCAGAGAGAATGCTGACTACCAAATGCCAAAAGATTATCACGCGTTAAGCTTCTTGGCCTGTTTCTTCCCATATATTTCTACACAGTAGATAAGCAGGGAGCATGGAGGGGCAGATAAGGGACGTGTGTGGTATTATAAACTTTACATCCTTCCCCCCTCAAAGCAAAATGTGCTTCAAAGCAACCTTGAATGGGCAGTGAGTTTAGATCTATGTTCTGATTCCGTTCCAACATTTTTGTTCTCCCTGGCTCCTAATCATTTGGGGCAGATGACTCATTTCCCCTATGGGACAATGGGGGAGGGCAAGAAGGGGTGTTCTTGGAGGAGAGCTGCGGCCAAAGGAAGTGGACAGAGAAGGCTTGAGAAGGAAAGGGAGATAGAAGGAATAAAGGAAGTATCATGCATGCAACAAATACAGAAGAGACGGGCAGGAAGGGAGGAGAGAGTGAGCTTCTCGGGGAGGATATAAAACAGGTGTGGTGGAAGCCGTGTTTACAGCCCTTACAAAAAAGGGAAAAGGGGGCAGAGTCTGCCGTGGAGAAAGGGTCAGAACAAAGTGACTCCACACTGAGTGGGCTGGAGTGAGCAGGTCCAGCCCAGGAGCCTTGTGAACAGGGCCGGGGGAGCAGGGGAGGCAGCCCTAAGAGTCAAGGCCCTGCTCGAAGACAGCCCATTAGTTCTCATTAAATGTAATTGTTGTGACTTAACATTCATCACAGGCCCATCAGTGTGGACACTTTGATGCATAAATGCCATTTGCTACTAAGGCTGGGTGCCACTTAAGAGAAAAAAAGGCAGGTCTAATTAGCCGTTTACCGCAGACAGTTCTTGCCAGTCTCTGGATTGCGAATATACATCTTTTACCCACCCACACACTTGGCAAACTGAGCTTATCTGTAGGCTTTTCCAGACATTAATAGAATAAAACAAAACCATAATCCTGCCAAGGAATACGACACGTGTGCCAGAGTTCTGGAGCCGGTGAAGCCCACAGTAGCATGCAAATCTTGCATTTCTGTGAGACTGTGATTCACGTCGACACCATGAAATCAGCAGGCTCAACTCTGCGCCTTCTTGACTCAGGACAGCCGTCCAGATGGAGAAATGGTCCAGTCACAAGGAGAGAAACTATGAGTTGTCCCAAGTATGAGCACCTGTGCCTCACCTTTACCCCAGAAAAGCATTCTCATTAAGTGTAGCAAGTAAGTCCCTCTGTACCCAGAGTAGCAAATAGCCAGCTAATGAGGCAGCTAATTCTTTAGCCCATTCTTCGGGGGCAACAGGTCCAGTTAATTTTTTTTTTTTAATGTTTGCGGCTATCAAGTAGATTGTTTAAAGGGCAGCAGAGAAGAATGTCTATGAAATAGAAATGCACGCGGAACACGAAACAGAAGGTTTTCACTTCCCACTATCTCTACGGGATAACCTCCCTGAGAAATGAGCATAGTTACAAGGATGGCCACCTCCATGGCAGCCACCGAGCCTCCCATCCATTCTCACAGTCAAATGCCTCCCAAAGCATTCCACAAGAGCTTTGTGAGTGCTTGAGTGGGATGGGCTGATAGTTCTAAGTAAAAGTTGATTTCATGAACACTTTTTTTTTTTTTTATGAAAATGGAACTTTATTCATGTATCAGCTCTACCATAACATTGACAAGTATATTCTGACAGTTGATTGACAAAACCCTATTGTGTTTTCTCCAGGCATATTTTTTTAATGTTCTCTCATACATTACCTCCTGATGACAGTTTCTCCTTCCTCTACTCCTCCCAGTTCCCAGGACACACACCTCTCCCCTCTCCCTCAGATCCACTCTTCCTCTGTTTCCCCTCAGAAAAGGGCAGGCCCCCCAGGGATATCAATCGAACACAATGTATTAAGTTACAATAAGACTAGGCACAAACCTTCATATCAAGGCTGATTGAGTCAAGGGATCCAGTGGAAGAAAAGGGTCCCAAGAGCAGGCCAAAGAGTCAGAGACAACCTCCACTCCTATTAGAAGTCCTACAAGAGCAGCAAGCTACACAACCATAACATATGCAGAGGACCAAGGTCAGACCCATACAGGATGTCTGAGTGTCACTACTGTCTCTGTGAGCCCCTAGGAGCCCTGGTGAGTTGATTCTGTGGGCCACATTCTTCACGAGCATCTTCCACTCCTTTAGTCCACCAACACGTGTCTGACATTTACTTCCACGATGGATACAGCAATGAGAATCACACACTCATCTTTTTTTACACTTACAGTAAAACTCTGTGGGGCAACAAAACTGTTCCTATTATAGAGCCAAGGAAAGGGAAACTTGAAAACTGGCCATAGACTGGCTGAGGCAAGGCTGAGAACTCAAGCAATCTGATGGGGAAGTCCAGCTGGGGACTGTAGTATATGAACCAAAAGGCCACCCTTAACTCTAGGACAATGAATGAGTCCCAAATGCTAGCAGCAACATAGTGCAATTTTGTTTAGAAATTCAGAAAAGAAACAGGTTCTGCTGAACACAGAGTTCAGGGTTCTGTTTATCACTTTCTGGGCAGGCTATCCCACTTAATCACACAGGCATTCCTTTTTATCAAAAGGGGTGATAGTGCCAACCTCACTGCACTATTGTGGAGATTTCCTGAAATAATGAATCAACTGCTAGACTTGGTTGTTTTTAAGAAAATGGGACTGCTGAACCTGGTGGCATACACCTTTAATCCCAGCACTTGGGGAGGCAGAGACAGGAAGAGCTCTATATGAGTTCAAGACTAGCCTGGTCTACATAGCAAGTTCCAGGCCAGCCAAAGCTAGATAGTGAGACCCTGTCTCAAAACACACAAACAAAATCAACAACAACAACAACAACAACAAAAAGGACTTTAAATTTTCATGTGGGAATGTCTAAAACAAAGGTCTGTCCAGCACTGTGGAGTTAAAAGGAAATCCTCACAGCCTAGTCTCAGAGCTCAGAACACAGTCTGAAGCCTGAAGGAAAGGCAGGAGAAAGAATGAGCCACAGAGAAATGGGCTTCTGAGTAGAAGGAAAGCTTTGGCAGTTGGGCATCATGGAGCCATCAAGCCAAGCTCCACTGACAAATCTGCCCCTTAGTAGAACATTCCAGAAAACCAACACTCCAAGCCTGAAGTGAAAATTTCTTCCTGTACACACTACACCTCCCAGCTAAGAATCCGAGGCCTTGGAAGGTGCCCTGTTGTTGCTTCAGGCTCAGACCCTGGCACCAAAGGGGTTAAGGGTAGGATTTGTTTGGAGGAAGTGAAAGGACAGTTGAGAGATGACAGTGGACCACACCTGAGGGCCATATTGCAGAAAAAGCTAAACAGCATCAAAATCCTCCATCAGAGCTCACCTTCCCATGGGTTCACCCTCATCCCCGCCCATCTCCAAGGCAGGGCTCTTGGAACAGAAGAATTTGAAGCAGTGTCGACTTGGTGAGTCAAAAAACTGACCCGGTGACTCCGAGTCTCAATATCTCTTGAAAAGCCACAATGTCCATCCACACCAGGTCTACCGGGTTGCAGCAGCCTAAAACAGCTGGGTCAGGATCAAGGTGGCTTCAACAAAATAGCCACGGATCTGTCGGCTGGCCAGTCCCACGGCCTGCTTCACTCATGCACGTGATCCATGTTTGGTTTAGGCATACTTCCCCCTTGCATCCCATCCCTGAAGTCATAAACCCCTTGAAAGTTAGAGTTGAACTACTAAAGATGAGTTGTCCTAGGGTTCTCAGGTCTCCCTAGTATAGTGGTCTTAATCTGGGACCTTGAGAGTCATAGTCAGCAATCTTTAGGTGAAAACCAGGCACTCTTAAGTTTTTAACAAGCCCCCCAAGTGGCTCAGAGGAACATAAAGGAGGAGGAGCTCCTCCACCTCTGTCATGGGCAGGAGCATGGCTACACCAGTTCTTAGAACATTGAAATAGGTCTGTGCCAATTACTGAATGGCAGATGCTCAAAACTCCTTGCAGCTCCTCCCCATCCCACACCCAGATTCCCACCCCCCAGACCCTCTTCTCCCCTTCACCACCCAGCATCTAGCCAGACCCATGGAGTTCTCCACCATCAATCCCTTCTCCATTCTGATTGGCTAGTGCCGGGAACTGAAAGCCTGGCTGCTGCACTGTGATACAGAACAAGGCCAAAGAGGTCACTCGAAAGGAGAGAACACTGCCAGAAAGCCCTGGAGTCTTCCCAAACCCATCCTGGCTCAGGAAAGAAGCTGACTAGGTGAAGGTGACCTACGCCCCTGAGCCTGCCTCTTCCAGCTAACACAGCAGAGGCATAAGCAATGCTTGTGTGCTTCCCGGCAACTCCTCACACGTGGTATTGGCAGGTGTGGAAATCATTTATCTCAAAGATGACCAGGCATCCACCTTTATCCTTTTCACCCCTGCCAGCCACAGACCTGCCACACACCTCCAGACTCCCTGGGAAATGAGGAGCTGGGACAAGAAGGATGGCAAATATACCCTCTCAGCTACCCTGCCAAGACCACACATTTGGCAAAATGGCATCACCAACACTGGATTCACTGATGCTTCCCTTGTTTAAGCCTTGAAAGGAAAAGACTCCAGTCTTCCCTTTTGTTGAGAGAATATTCACAGGTCCAGCCACTTCTGATATGACTATGAAAGATGGTTGCTTAGGGTATGTGTTTGGGAGGAAGGACTAAACTAGTTAGCACCGGAAATTCTTGCAGCAGGTTGGTGTCATTGGGGATAAATCACACAAGGACATTTTGCTTAAAATAGAGCAATCGTAAATGATCAAGCTGTCTGCCAGAGCTATGTCCTAGACCAGAGCAGAAACAAAATGTTCCCAGGAGGCCCTCAGTCCACTGATCTACACTTTGACAAATAGAAAACTGCAGAGGTGGGATCCAGGGTACACCTTCAAATAAAACACCAGGGAAGTGGGGAGCAGGAAACAGGATGGCAGACAGTGGAGTTATCCATCAGTCACTTTGGGCCACACTTTAGAAGTGATAGGGACATACCAGCTAATAGGAGACAAAAACAGATATGGCTCTCACAGTGTGGGGTTTCTTGTTTCTAGATTGGGGCTTTTGTTATTTCCCCTTTTTATTATTAAATGTCACATATATACAAAATAGATTTAAACCATTTTACGATTAGATGAGATCATAAAACAACCATATCTGGTGCACAGCTTTTTAAAGCACAGTAATTGCCAATACTATTGAGGTCCCACTGTGTGCTCTTCCCTCCTCTCTCCCTCCCAACCACAGTCCTGAGTCCCATGCTTATCTTTGCCTTGTAATTTTCCCACACACGGGGTGAGGGTGGTATATGGAATTCTCAGCACTCCCTGCAGAGACGCTCAGTAAACAGTCAAATGAATACCGCAACACGATGCTGTAAACATTCCGAGTATTTGCAGCCCCATCTGGCTCTTGCCACTGGGATTCCAGGGCTTTGATTTGTCGACGGGAACAGATGAACTAACGTGTCTGGTTTTGAGATTGGTGCTGGCTATGGGGATTTTTCAAGAACTCTTCCAAGAACAGCTGTTTGTTGTTTCTAAGTTGAAGCAATGCCTACATTGTTTGAGAATGGGATTTTGGGGCACCTCTCTTCTGAGCCTTTGCCTAGCACCTCTGAGTAGGCAACTAGGGAAACCAAAAGAATCTGAAATTAAAAGTGTCTTGGTGGTGGTGGTAGTAGTAGTGCTGCTGCTGCTGCTGCTGCTGCTACTACTACTGAGATGATGCTGATGACAATGATGCTGATGACAAAGATGCTGATGACGACGATGCTGATGA